ACAGTCGTTTGCTAACAGCAAACTGAAAACAAACAAAATGCTTTGTTTAACATTAACATTTAGCTGCATCACTATTATTAAATATATTTCAATGTGGAATGATCAATTGACATTTCGCAATCTGCTTTAAAAATATGACATTTAGCTCCTATTAAAAGCCGCATATAAATTATAAGTCAAATTATCAATCAAATGTCTGGAATTCTTAACACAGGCATTCCACAATACCCACGTATTTCCAGAATTTCGTTCTGGAAAATTTTCTTCCTTAAAGTCACGCCTTTTGTAGCAGTTTGCATTCGAAATGAGATATCGTATAACTGACTCTTGACGTGATAGCGCCAAAGTCACTTGTCAACTTGGCTTGCATTAAAGCGAGCAACAAGCTCTCTTATCTCAGCATTGAAGGAGAAAATAACGTTTATTGCCTTTGACTAAATCCAGAATTGTGCCATTACCTTATACCACAGCTCAATATATTTATTTCAAATGGCAGGCGTTTTGATAGTTAACATTAGCCTCTTAGCTGACTTCGGGCTTCACAGAGAGGAAGAGGAACATTAAAGTGTCAAAAAGTAGAGAGGGTAGACAGAATAATGATTCACGGACGTAAAAGAGACAGACAGACAGACACAAAGGCAGAGAAAATGTAAGATGAATACTGTGGAAGTGATGAAATATGACATACAGTGAACAAGCAATCGATGCATCGCTTCGGCACATACTCTCTGCAGCATTGGTACTATTTCGATGAACAAATTAATCAGGACGAATTCGAATGAGGCTTCAACGAGCACTTTTTTTTCAGTTAAGGCAAACCATGCTCACTCAGCGATTTATACTTTTCTAAAATTTTATACAAGACTACTAATTGATGTAAATATTTGAATAAGTACCTTTAACTTTACAGAATATATTGAAATTAAAGACCGAATGTAAACAAAAAGGTTGGAACATTTATCTCCTGAAAAGCATAAATGTTCATTTCGCACTGAGTGTGCTTAAAGGGGTTTGTAAACCGATGACTCTCAGGAATGGCATACAATATCGTTATCTCATGCGTGGTGTGAAAAAAATTAAAAATGTAGAGTACTAACTCTTGTGAGTTCTATAAAGAATGTGATTCGTGACTCAATGTTATATTCTGTTGGGCTATCGTATTTCGAAATTTGAATCATCTTCACCACCTGAAAGACAGCAAAGGGCAGATTCATGATAATTATGGTTGTTTTATTAGAAAAAAATGAGAGATTTACCAAGACGTCTATGGTGGCCATTAATTATAATGCGTTCAATAAGGATCTTGTATCTTTATTCGCTCAAAGATACGAAATGTAAGTGAAATTACAAACAAGTAATTAGATGGCTCTAAACGAGGACAGCTAAAGTATGTGCTGTTCTTCCGTTGTTGGCAGCAAAGTAGGTCACTTTGAGGCTACATTTCCCAACACGAAATTTTGCTCCTTAGATGCATAAAGATTGATTCAAAAAGAAATCTCAATTTAGATTTCTCTGCTCACTAGAACCAAAACATGGTTTCCATAATTGAATTTCTGAATGTTTTAGTAAAATTAGGTTGAAATTTCGAAAAAGAGCTTTCGAAAAATTCAGCTTTTTATTTAAGTGACGATATTTTCCTTCTCGACAGATTCGAAGATGAACATGATTGAGAACGCTGCCTAAAGGAGATAGTCAAACTTATCCATGTCTAAATTTTTAAAGTATGTCGCTATCTTCTTACCGAAAAGACTTGTGGGCTTCAGAGGCCTCGATCTCAAAGTCGGGAGTTTGGTTTGGAATCAGACGAATACGGTTGACATATCCTTGTTTGCAATCCTCGGAGCTGTAATCCCCGAGTTCGCCTGAAATAGGTCAAATCTATGGTTAGGTGGAAGTAGATATCCGTTTAACTTGGGGGATGGGGGCACAATAATTTTACTTCCACACATTGTTTAATACAGGGCATTAATTAATATGATTTAGCTTCAATTTCAAGCCTAATGCTACTGAGAGATAAAATGAGGTTAAAAAGCAGACATTCATACGGCGAAATTGATCGAAATTAAAAAAAACAAATGAGGTGTGCAATAGACTTACCTCCACGTGGTGCACCCTGGGCAACGTATACTCATACGGCAAAAAAGTCTATTAACCTGCAGTTGACTCCTGACTTCAAACTACCATCACTCCACTGGATGCCATATTCGACCAATTCACCGTACTCATCTTACCTTTTCTCTACCCTTGTGTCTGTCTGTTTCTTTTGGATCTTTGAAGCACTCTTCTGTTCCCCCTCTCGACTTTTTGTCACTTTGATGTTCCTTCCCCTCTGTGAAGGGCTAATGATAACTATCAAAACGCCTGCCATTTGATATAAATAAATATTCAAATCAGAAATTTATTTGTGAATTGGTATTCGTTACTATTATCAAGTTGCATGAATATTCATGATCCATCGATTCTTCATTTGAGATGAAGTCAGATCTTAGTATAGTCTACTTATCAACATTCAGTAGATCTAACAAGCTGACATGAGGAATTCGTAGATAATTTTTGGCATAACATTATCCGTATGCGATAATTCTAGATTCCTAGTGCAAGTAGATTCCACCTTGATTGTGCTATTTATTTACTTTGATTAGTAATTATCCGAATTCACAAAGCTTCCCCCCCCCCATTTGACACCCAATTATACCATAGAAGCGGGCCTGGTAGCAACCATCCCTAAAACAGACCCATTAAAGTACTTACTCATCCTGGGAAATAAATCAAATTATTTTTTCTCTTATGAAACAAAACGCTGGACTTCCGGCCTCTAAAAGGTGGATAAGCCTTTTTCATTGATATTACCCCCATACCACTAATCACAACCCATTTATAACCATATAGCATCTGTAGCATTCACTACCAGAGTTTTAGCAAAAAAGATCAAAAAAATATGAAAACATCACACGGTAGATTGCCTCAGTATTTTCTCATCAAGTACAAAAAACTCGCATTCACACTCAGCCATTTCTGCAGTTCATAAGAGAGAAGGATCAGGATAATAATGAGTAAGGCCAAATGGAAGGCACAATAAATCAAGTTACAGATCAAAGAGGAGAACAGATAAGATGACAAGTCGGATCTTCCCTTTATCGTCCATCACCTTCGCCATAATAACCCGCTGGTCTTCCATGAAGCCAGGATCTCGAAATTCCACGCCGTGGTTCTGTGAAGAAGGGAGAAGATCGATCACCTGAAGAAGTCAAGAGGGGTTTACTGCCGAAAGTGGGTACAGAAGGGGCGCCCGAACTACCAGGACCAATGTCACAGGAGAGACTGGAGGGAGTTAGAGAAGATGACCCGTTAGAACCCCGACGCTGTGGACCAGTCCCCGCTCCACGTTGCTGAAGGAGAATGTCAAGGTTTTGGCCAGGGGCGGGGGTGGCACCGATACGTGCTAAATGGCATTTCAAGCAGAGGAGGTGAGTTCGACCGGGAAGTTCACTATTACTCGTCTCGATGTACGGATAGCAACGTGAGGATACTTCATCGGAGAGGAGGAGATTGCAGTCCTGCAATAGAGGAAATATTATTATTATTATTATTATTTCAAATGGCAGGTTTTATGCCACTTATCATTAGCCCCATGGATGAAATATGCGTATATATATAATATCATTAACTTAGGCCAGCTAAAATGAATAATGAAAATCCAGGGCCCTTTTTCAGCGGCTACCTTACTAATCAGTCGTCATTTCTCACACTCCTGTAACAAACGTATCACATTGAAACGTTGAATAAACAGAGGCAGTAGCATTCAAGGAAATGTATTAGTAAAAAGGCACACCCATCAATGGAATCGATTGAAAGTAAAATGCTTTTACTCACAGTGGATTATACTTTCTTGTGGATAGTTTTGAGAGATGGCAGTGGATCAGGAAATCTGTCTAGTATGTGGACTTGACTACTAAAGCGTATTCTTAAACAAATTTAATTTTAAAAAAATGAACCCGATGTACGGGGTGAAGTTAGAGAAATGAGATGCGCGAGTTACATGCTTGGTCATTTTCAGAATTCTCTCACACAAAAAAAACAATTCAATTCCTACTATCTTCCAAGCTCGAGATTGCCCAGAGGAGGGAATTTGATTGGATTAGATAAGTAATTATCAGAATGCCTATGCTAGCATAAAGTTATGAGGCATTAAAAATGTGAAATTGGTGCGTCAAATAAAGTGGTTAATTGCCTCAAAGCGCGAGATTAAAAATTTCTCATTTAAGAATACGAACAACTGCCAAATTCAGATGTCTTAATACACAAACTCATTCATGACTCCTTCCCCAATTCCTGACCAATGGAATTTGTACATTTTACAATGACAAAATAGTCGTTTTTGCAATGTCATGGAGAGTGGTAATCACAATCATTAGTTTCTAGCACATTTCAGACGCCAGACCTTACTTTTTTAGAATAGGACATTCGGAAAAACCAATATTAAAGAGTATACAGGGCAACAATAAATCAGGGCATCTAGTAATTCTATTGCTACCGGAACGGGCCAACACGTTAAGAGGGAGTAATTTAGTAAAGCAAAATAACTCACCTCGCAACGATAGCATTCAATATGGAATTCCTTATTCATGGCGACAACTCGAAGAACTTCGTCAGCGGGCTGAAATAGGGATGAAGAAAAGAAGAGATGTGGGGGGGGGGTAACAACACACAGCCTACTTATTTTGGAAATAAGTACAACACAGAGCGTAACTCACCGAATCAGGGAGGATTGGGTTAGCACAGGCGGCACAGGTGGGTGCAGTAGCCAAGTAAAAATCATAAAGACAAAAGATACGACCCTCGGCATCAACTGTAAAGGCATCTCCATCAAGGCACTTATTGCAAACTGTGCATCTGAAACACCCAGGGTGGTAGGATTTGCCCATGGCTTGAAGGATCTTGGAAAAAATGTGAAAACATTATACTTCCAATGAACTTGAGTTCAGAAGAATGGAATTAATGTTCTCGCTAAATAATTAAGCGGTCTAAAGACTGCCCCCAGCAACAAACCTTCGCTTACAAAAAGAGCATTAAGTGAATAAGGCACCGATCACACTTACAGTTTGAGCAATGATATGGCCACAAACGGTACATTTCTCTGCCATTCGTTGGAACCCACAGTACTGCAAAAAGGGAGGAGCCCCCCAAAAAACACATTAGTCTTTGAGAACAAAGGTGTAATATTTGGAGGGAAAAACTGTGTTCTTACAAGGTAGTCCTCTTCACAGTAGATTTTGTCTTGGTCTTTATAGAACGTTTTGCCACGAAGTGTGCGTTCTAAAAGTAAAGAAGGAGGGTAATAATAATAATAAGGCGACAGTTCGATGACTGACTCAATCAATGGAAAAAGCTCAATTCGAAGTGATGCTCAACTGGTAATTGGGAGATGAAGCGTCATTAATGATAGGAGAGTGAGAAGTGCGATAGACATACCTCCCTGAGCAACGTATACGCATACGGCAAAAAGTCTACAAACCAGCAGTGGGCTTCTCACTTCAAACTACCATGACCCCACTGTATGTCACATTCCACCACTTCCACAGTACCAACTTTACTCTACTCTCTAGACGAAAAAGAGGATGAGTGAAGCAATCACTTGTTTCCTCAAGGTCACATAATTACCGACATCTTCCTGCGTGACACTGAAGTCACAAAAATTCAAATCTTCATTTTTATACAAATCCTTGAAATTGTCCCTAAAGTACCTTGAAATGAACTTTTACCCCTATTGATCAATGAGATAAACAAAATTACACAACGTCACGAACATGTGAGCTACCATTCAGAGAGCACTGGAGAATGTGAAAAGATGGATGGGGTCATTACATTTGTTTTCTCAAGAACTGCCCACTAAGAAGAACAAAAAATTTAAATAATGCAAAGACTTTGACTTTCATTTCAACAACATTCAACTCGAATTTACTGTAATTTGATATCAGCCGAGTCACCACAATGAACCATAGCGAAATGTTAATTGACGATAAGGCACACTAAGAAATTTTATTTAGTTCAAATTACTATTCAAGATACCAAATAAGATGTATTCAAATAAAAATAACGAGGAATACCGTTGTCAGGCCGTTAACCTCAAATGTTACTGAATTATGACGTCAGGGATATTTTCCAAAAGTTCATGCTTGTATCAAGATATTAAATAAAGATTAACCATAACTGACAGGAACTGTAGAACGTATTTATGTACATTTTCCTAAAACTAATCAAAAGCACAAGAATTTCATACGGGAAAGATTTCTCAGCATCAACCACTTGATTACGTTTCCTAAACGCCTGCCGACACGTATCTTGGGCGGATAATTAGTATCATAAGTAAAAAAACTATGGAAAGCGCTGCGGCAACCACCCTCTCCATTAAGTAGACTTAAACAAATACAGTTTACCAGTTCACTCGCTAGGTATGTCATTGATCTCCTGACAGCTGATTTTTAAACCGAATTACCACATCACCGACACTCAATTCTGGCAGTATTCAAGTGAATTCGCATTCGTAACACTATCTTAAAAGACCAATTGAAGATAGTTGTAAATACTATCGATCCATTTACTAAACAATCCCTTTCAAATAAGAAAACATACAGATAAATATTAATAAAAATAGAGAAGCAATTGGGTGGCGCAAGGCACATAATTCAAAGTGCGAGGGCTTAGGAATTCCAGGAATTGGGTGCTGAACAGAAAAACATCGGCATAATTAAATTCTGAACTCTCAAGTAAATATATGTGCACGCCAAAAGGCTATAAAGAACTTCAGACCGATGCAAAACAAGTGGCCCATTAAAGATAGTGCCAAATTTCTCTCAATTCACCAATCACTTCAATCCACCACTTCACACAAGCCAATAGGAAATGCCCGAGTCAAAGAGGTAGATTCGGCAATAGAGTACGCACGGGTAGCCAATCAGGATCAAGTATCTAGTTGTACAGTCTTATTTGATTGTTAGTTTGCTTTATTATCAGTGCCCTATTGTGTGCCCAAAATGCCTTCCTTGATATTTGTCCAGCAAGATTGGGGTTGGGGGGAATTTCCATCCCCTCGACAAATACCAACAAGGGAAAAAGAAGGGCAGAAAAGAATTCGCATTCCTTATCCATATGCTGAAGATGCTGATACCTAGGTCACTACTACCCGAGACCACCTGGCCTATTCTACTGGTGTTTTGTGAAGTAAGCGAAAACTTAACAAAGAAATGGAGAAATTATACGTACAAGGGCTGCATTTGTATCAGGGCATTAATCACAGAAAACGTGCGTTAGAGAATCCACTTGTGCCAACAGAAATTGAAAGTTTACATTCCGGAAAAAAAGATAAAAGCTTATTCTTAGCCGAATAGCCAAGGAGTTAATTTATTGCACAAATGTACACTAAAATGATTGAATATCGCTATGCCTTCAAAACAAATCACATACTACCTCCACTGTAATGAATTAATTCTAAACGATACAAATACGTAAACTAAAAAAGGGCAAAAAATAAGCCCTTTTTTTATTGCTCTTTTGTGCTGCTGCGTGCGAACGTCCAGCCATGAGCGTAGCCCTTGGAACATTTATTTATATCAAATGGCAGGCGTCTTGATGGTTATCATTAGCCCTTTAGTTGCCTTCAGGTTTCACAGAGGGGAGGAGGAACATCAAATTGAATAAAGTCGAGAGGGGGGAGGGGGGAACAGAAGAGTGTTTAAAAGATGTAAGAGACAAACACAAAGGAAGAACAAAGGTGAGGTGAGTACTGTGGAAATAGTCGAATATGGCATAGAGTGAGGTGATGGTAATTTGAAGTCAGAAGTCAACTGCCGGTTAATTGACTTTTTGCCGTATGAGTATACGTTGCCCAGGGTGCACCACGTGGAGG